TAGATTCGCCGCGTACCTTAATCGAAGAAAAATTTCGATACGTGCGTTTGACATGCTGGACATAATTATCTTCCCACTATCATATTAATATTATATAAAATAATATTAGTATTTAATATTAGTATTTAATAGCACTAAGACATCCGTGCTTGCTCCTTATTTGCCTCTTCAAATCTTACTGTTGTTTACGAGAAATTGCAGTTTGAAATTTAACAAGCTCCCTTAGTTTTATTGTAGTAGAACACGAATCGAGCAGCGGCGTCACGCTATAACGAATCAACAGACCACTAAGCGCCACGCTATAAGTTTGCACGTTAGATGTTCCGAGCTGTTTGAGCCTAATTCGGTTTAGTTTTTTTTTTATACAGTTTTTTATTGGTGCGAATAAAAATATGTAATATATAATACGCAGACAAAACCTTTATACAATCGAACATTTTTATTACAACAATGTCTGTGATATATTACAGTAATATTACTGTGATGTGTTTTCGCGGACATTGTAATATTACCGTGATATCTCAGTAATATTACAGTAATATTTCTGCTACATTTTATTGTAATATTGCAATGGAAATGTGATATTACTGTGATATTACTGTAATATTATGTGCTATGTGGGATAGTTTATTAATAATCACTTAATTGTATATACAACTTTTTTATATATAAAAATTTTTTTTATTAATAAAGCAGATATAACTAAATTAAATTAAAATATTAATAAAATTAACTCTAGGTTGTATTCAATAGCCGCTTCAAATGCTTTAGTTTGATGTATATCTCTGACTTTTCTTTTATTACATGAAATATTTAGACTACATAGTTTATTTTTGTCGTTGTATTAAATAATATTATAAGAAAATTATAATTACTTTTTCGGCTGCATATGGGGATAATAAAAAACGCTTTGTATCAGTTGAAGAAATAGCGCAGCAGTCAAGATGATAGACTAGAAACCTAGAGATATCTAAGGTCTCGAATTCGCGTCCGACTAGTACTGAGTATTTCTTCAGGTGTGAAAATAGAGAGAAATTAAATAAAAGAGCTAAATTTCATTTAAAATCAATATAAATTGACTAAGCTGAATATAAATAATATTTCTTTATCAAAAATTTCTTATTAAAAATATTGAAAGGTTCTAGGCATATTATATTAACTTTTAATATAACGTTTCTGTAATGATAATGGAATGAGTATGGACCAACATTTTCATGTTATTAGAAAGTTAGTGACAGGTTTATTAACCTACGTGTTACTATCTTACAATTTAAGGTTGCTGTAACTTTATGGCAATATTAATGTGCTGTGAGGGTATATTCTCAAAGTTTAACCATTAAAATCTGAAATATCCTGCTTATTAGAAAATACAAGAAAAACTTTAAAAAATAGTTTGATCGGCAAATATCCAGTTAGAACTATTTGTTGTTTCAAGGTTGATTTGATG